GGGGTTTCGAAAAAACTGGTTTTCCAGAAGACTGGATCTTCGAAGGACTATTGGGAAGCCCCATGGTCATATTCGGAATCAGCATAGTCGATAACCTATAACCCACTAGATGTCGATCAAAAAGCGATTTATCACCTTGGGAGGTTCCCTCTGGTGGCGGCGCCAGGATTTTGCTCTGGGGTGGGCTTAGCCCACCCATTTTGGGAACACTGAAAAAGTTTTAGCACTAAAAAAAATTTTCAGGAGTGTGTTAATCAGCATCGAGATATTCTATCTTGAAATGAAAACGTCAACAGAACGGGAAATGAACGAAATTGAAACAGAGAACAAGCGATACGGGTTGTGACTTCGCTGTAGAAATACTTACACAAAGCTAAGTAATCGAGATCATTCATACTGACTATAAATTTAGCAGAAACCAAGTTAATGGAATTTCTAAGCATTCCTCAATTAATCACTTTTGTCAAACAAAAAGACTTCATAACATATTCTTACCTGCAACCCAAATAAGCGCAAATGTTGCTAAATGTTGACAATTACACTGATATACTGTCTCTTGCGAATTCAAGTCGTATCTAAAAGTAGGTACTATTCCACAGGCGGTTGCACTCCAGGCTGTTCCATTCCAATATGCACATTGTAAAACATATTTTTGGCTCAAATTCGTTGCATAATATTTAAGCGTAAAATATAACTGAACATCTATGTTAAATGGAATATTTTTACCAATGATGATTACAGATGACGCTAATTTTACTGTGTCTGTATCATGTTGCAAATAATTTATTGGTTGATCTATGACTAATAGTGTCAAAAATAATCTCAGTTGGTTACCATTCATTATAAAGATGGCAGCTGATAAACCTCGAATTTGATCGTCGATCATTCTTCTTGCGGTAATGAGTTGACCGCCAAGAGAAGAATTAAATGTTGCACCACTGACAAAAAAATCTGCAGTAACATTCACTTCTGTTAGTATTTGAACCACAAGTGCAGTGCATGAAAGAAAAATATCAGGTGAATTTCGTATAAAAGATTCCGTTTTATTTATCTGATTATTGATAATATTCATCATCATGTTAGCATTTATTAGCATAGATGAATCCTGCGTCTTTTTCAACGCTGTATAATAGTCTTCTATGGCATCAGCTAAAATCCTTGCATCACCGGAAGTAGTAGTTGTAAGAATAGAATAAGCATTTGCCTATGGAAAAGAACATTATCCGTTTCAAAATTACTAAGGATTTTCGATAAACATAGCTTACACAGTAGAGAAAATAGTTAAAAAATGTTTCTTTCCCTAAGTGTTCATTTGATGTTTTATATACTTATGATTTTTTTTGATTTTTTAATCAAATTTCTGATTTCTCTAAAAAACTCATATTCCAACCACTTTAATATGTAATAGTTTAAATATTTGGACTGTAAGGTCAATTGAGATAATCGATAAATCCTGTGCTGTGCCGTATTAATCTGTTGCACTGTTTTTTAGCTGTATTGTATTAAAACTTAGTCGGTAAAATTAGTTTTTTTTATTATAGTTGCTTTGGCTTAATTTTGTTTGTTTTTAAGCCAATGGAAAACATGAAGTCGAAAGTACATTCGTAGTATTATAAGTATATCGTAATGTTTATATACACGGCCATTGACAAAGCAAAATAATGATTGAAAAAGGAGTTTGATACTGGTGCGTATCGATGCACATACTATTTATCTATTTTTATCTATTTTCTCTACTCTTTTAATACACTGATGTACGAGCCTTTTAAAAGACATCTTTTCATAAAGACATCTAAGATCAAAGAGATCTATTATCCACTCCAATCAGGAGCGGGTATAATTTCTCAAATTCTAAGGCTTTTTTAACTAATTCTTCACTTACTAGTACAGTGCTTGATATCGAACAGGTACCAGAAATTATTGAATAAACTTGTCCAATAGAACAGTTACCTGAAAAACGTATAAATAAATGCATGAGGCTAGCTAGGGTGGTCTCAGTACAGACGAAAAGTTCATTTTTATTCTAAATCTGTAGAAACCAAAAAGTGAAAAAGTTGTCACTGTGTACCAGTACGTCAAAAAGTTATCTTGTTTAAAAGTACAATTGTTATTCGTACGGCGATATTAGCCGCACGTTACATGAGAAAACAATCTCGACAAATAGCAAAACGATCTGCCTAAAATTCCCAACTTCACGATTTTAAGTATACCTTCTTTTTCAGATGTGTCACTAAACTTTTACGCCTAGTACACATAAATGTTCTAGAAAACGAGAAGAAAAAAACTTTAATGCAGAAAAACGATAAATCTCTTTTTTAATTGATAAAAATTAAGAAGTTTTTGAGCAGAATAAGATGGAGCCGTACTGACAGTTTTGCCCGTACTAATCAGTTTTGGACGCCTCTCAAGATAATCAACTCTAAACATTTGCTGATTCAGGTAATCACAAAACGTTTTCTCACTTTTTCTATGATTATTTCCAAACAATATTATGCCAAAATGAGAAATGCAGAATGGACATAACGGGTGGCCCATAAAGAATGGCGGTCTTAGTATTTCGTGAATATCTCATGCAGTTTTTATTACTCAGACCTCGCCTCTTTTTCAAAAGATTTCCTATTCAATTCTCTACAAAAAAGTGTGAAAAGAGTTTCTACAAAATAGAACCGTGAAACTCTATGTGGTGAATATTAGCATGCTCTGAAAATACCCTTTTTCAAAGTATGTCTCATCGTTCGTTGCATTTTACATCACCATATGACTAGATATAGAAAGATTAAAGATGTCAATTTGTAGCTTTCGACAAGCCCTATCAGCCGATCGATGATAGAAAAGTTCTGACTTTGAAACGTGTATGAACAAAACGTTTTCTTTTTTCTCACATCGATGTTTTTGGGATCTGTATTGGACTTCTCCGTAACTATCATGCGGTTAGCTCAAAACGTAACGTTTCATAGTCGAATCTTTGCCAGTTCGAAGAAAAATGCTCTTTCTATCATCGCTAAACGACTTTATCGGTGTTCAGGTAGTTTTGGCAACAAATTGTGCGTGAGAACAAAATGTCGAATTATTCAAGCTCGTTTTTCAAGGCAAACTGTTCCTGAAATCTCGTAATATTATCCAAACGACTCGTTTCAAGTGCCATGAGAAAGAGCATACTTGAAAATAGCGAGAAATGTGCACCACAGTAGTTCAACACTTTATTAGCCAGAGGGAGAAAACAAATCAATATTGTGAAAGCGTGCGTTTGAAAACAGGCCTTTTCGGAGCATATCAGTGTTCACCAGATAGAGTTTCACGATCTCATTTTGTGCAAACCCTTTTCACACGGTTTTTTGTACAGAACTGAAGGAGGAATCTTTTGAAAAAAAGGGCGAGGTCTGAGTGATAAAAACTGCATGAGATATTCACGAAATACTTAGACCGCCATCCTTTATGGGCCACCCGTTATTTTCTAATATAACAAGCGAGCATTAGAAATTTTTGCTCGTAAACTACTTCTTCAGGAAGAATTATCATTGCTTAGTCATCTTTGACGCCCAAGCGAACGTCACCTATGGAAAAAATCTAGATACATGTTACCTGTAATCGGGGAATACACAACTACTATCGGCGCCAAAATTCAAATCACTCGGTTGTTTTTCGAATAACTCCAAAACGATAAAAGATAAGGACTTGCGATTTTCAACAATCGTAAGAAGACAGTTAAATCTATATTTTCATAAATAAAATCATTTTCTAAAACCATTCGGAAGATCGGTTTTCTGAGAGATCTTTGGAAAAGCACTTCGGATCTCCGGAAACTGAGAGACCAATCTGTAAATTTTATTCTATAGATAGATAGTCCAAAATGCGAACTAAGCGAACTCGTAGTTTTCGCGGTTCAGGCGTGGCATCAGATTTCCCCAGAGTCCTAGGATCAATATTTCTTTAGGTATGGCAATTTCGAAAATAATGGAAACATAGACAATCATGTACAACTAGCGATAGTTAAATCGATAGTTGCAACTGAGAAGAAATCCAGCAATTGCCCGATTACTAGATTTACGCTGTCGTTACCAAATACTTGCAATTGAGTAAAAATTTAGTGATCTAATTTGTTTTGGGTGATACTAGATTTTGTGGTGATGCTTGAAAACGTTAGACATATAGCCAACACGTACTAATATTGTGATTTTCTTGTTTCAGAACTAAGAAGAATGATTTTACTCAAAAAAAGTCAAGGAGCTATGGAAAACCCGAGGCTAGGGCCAAGAACGACGATGGTAGTTGGCGTTGAAATATCTAACCTGATGATTATCTCAAAAAAAGGAACGTGTTAACTTTTTCTAAATGTCGGTCTGTTTGCTGTTGTTCTGTGAGATTATCAATAGTACTGTTCACCAGGCAAATCCTCAACTCAGTCTGAGGTTAAAAACTCTACGGCTTGGCCGGCTAATGATAACCTTTGAATCAGATGGTTGAAGGAAATTTTTTTTCTCAAATCAGCCTTAAATATACATCATCATACGCAGCTTTTTATGCTGATCATGAATATCAACTTTATTGTTAATGAAAAAATTTGATTTAAATTTTAAAATTTTAATTTAATTTTTTCAGCCTTTTAATTTGAATTTCCTGATCTACTTATTTTGTTCTAAAAATCTAAAAACTATACTGCCGGATAGGGAATTGAATTTTCTACAAAACCCACTATTTGTTTTGAAGTTTAAACATCGTGGAAAATATTTAAAAAAAGAAAGAACTTTTACCATTTTTCGCTATCTTTTGCCGAAATTATTTTGAGACTCTTTTTCTAAGAGAGTTTTAGAAGCTTTAACAAAAAGTCATAAGTTTCTCTTTTGCAGAAAAGTTGACAGTATATGTGCCGATTAAAATTACGATTTATTGTGAGTTTTAACTATCGAAAAACGGATGATGAAACCTTATGAATTGGAAGCACAAAAATCGATGGCATTCCGTCACGGAGCACATTTTAACTCTTTTTCTTTGATCTAAATACATACAAACAAAAGTAAATAGGGGTTCTGGAAACCTGAAGAATTCTCTACAACCTTTTTATACTAAGCTTTTTCATTCAAAGTCTCACTTTAGAGTAATACTGAAAATTCATGAAGGCCTGAAAAAAAAATTCCATTTTTTTGTCATTCCGTCACGATCTCTCTTTTCGCTATAATTTATGAGCAATGCAATCAATCT